TCATAAACCGATTGATGTTAGATCACCATTGAAAACCTGGAAGCACTGAACGGCCGTTCCGTTCTATTGTGGGACTCCTCAGCAGTGCGCATTCACGATCCTGCTCGCAGGATTCAAACCCAGGGCCTTCTGTCTTGCGCGCAAACGCTTAACCTACTGGACCACTGAGCCGGCATCCAATGGTGTTATTGTCTAACCTCAACCAATCCACGAAGATTTACATGTTTGTTTGTTAGTTTTTTTCTAAGTTGTTGGGGTATCAGCCAATGTCAACGATGAACTATACCGCTGCATCTGATAAAATAAAACTTAATAATTAATCAATTACTATTAGAAGAAAGCTGTAAACAGAATTTGCATATCCAATATGACTTCATTAGAATATGTTGAAAATAAACAAATTATAAAGTCACTTGTATTGTTTACATGAATCTTTCTATTGTTGTTTAAGACTGTAATTGATCAATCTCTTATTCGCATACGTGCATACCATGCATATTGCCTCGATATTGTCTTAATTCATATGTATTATATACAAAGGTGGATAGTAAACAATACCAAATGAATTTAAACTTCACCCTAATTACACAATCAAGTGGATATCAGGACTCAGTAGTTAAGTGAATAACGTGATGGTGTTTGAATTGAACGGCATTGTGTTCGATTTCTAGAGTGAATATGAACTCTGAGATGTAAGCACATTTAGCTGACATGTCCCAAATAAGATGAAACGCGCTTCCTGGATTCCACTGTTAGCCACTATTCATGTTAGCTTATAAATATGTTACAGTTTAGATAGAAACTCATAATCACAATTAATTGATCACTAGGTGGTGATCAATTTCATGTGTGTCAGGTCCTTCTTATTGCAAACCGAATGCTATCGACCATGTCGCAATGTGGCTATCAGTCTAGGTGACTCGACACTGAGTGCACCATGTTGAGATTAGATGGTGGTTGGAGGTAGTCGACAGGAAACCCTGCGCTCGTATTTCGTGCTACTTGGCACTCGTCAGCAAGGTCTACCTGTAATCTTGAGGGAACTGGTGCTCTCTGACTTATTCGATCCCGTGTCACCCAGCTTCACAGTCAGAGACATTATCACTGAGCTATCCGAGCCGCGACCGACCTCCTGTAGGACTAAGATGTAATCACAATTGACTGATCACTGGGTGGTGATCAATGTCATGTGTGTCAAGTCCTTCTTAGTGCACATCGAATGCTATCGACCCATAAACCTGTTGTTGAGTTTTCTGTCTTAAAATTAAATAAATTTTTATGAATACATATTTGTCCTAACTGTAAATCTTAATGTAGGATGATTCTTTTTGAATTTTAAGTTTTGGAAAATAAACATTTCTCGTAAACTTCTATAAATGCATAACATGGAACAATTTCAAATTAATCAATCTTATCATTGTATTCTATTTTTAATATTAAATGATTATCTCTATTAACATCATAGTAACATTCTAAACAAATAATAATATTTATATATATATATTCAATTTAAATGAGAATATTTGATCAAATATAATACAATTTTTAGTTTAAATAATAAATTCAATTGACAATTTATACAACAATTTACTTAACATTTGTCGTTTATTTAATTACCGGAAGAAATGAACTAAAATTTTATTATATAAATAAATGTCATAAAATTTATTCACAATCGTTAATGATCAATGAAAATAAGTTGGAATATGAAAAAAAAGTGACAAATGTTACGAGTAATTAATATTAGTGATAAATTATAACAATCTTTGTAATTTTAAATGTTACTGGGGTTACAATAAAAATGAATTCAAATTTAAGAATTCAAATTAAATTTCTCTTATATGTTTATAATGAATATCAATCGGGGTTTTTCGGAAATTGTAGTAATTTTACTAGTTGAAATTATGAGTTCATTGAAGGTAGACAACCACGAAAAATCTGGAAGCACTGGATGGTGATTTCGTCCTATTGTAGGACTCCTCAGAAGTTCGTATCCATAACCACACCTCACGGGATTAGAACCTAGGACCTTTCAGTTTTGTGCGTGATTTCCTAACTACTAGACCACTGACCCGGCATCCAACGGTGTGAATGTCTAACTTCAATTAATCCACGAAATAGGGCGATATATCCACATTGTCATCCGTGAGTTACTATCTCACAACTGACCGGGCGGGGTCGTGGATGCTCACTGTTGAGAAGTCTCACAATAATACGAAACGGCCGTCCAGTGCTGCTAAGTTTTCCATAGTGGTCTAGCTTCAAGTGACTCATGAATTTAACTAATAAATTACCATAACATCCACAAAAAACCCTTCTGATATTAATCATCATGTGCTTACTATAGACTGGCTTCAAGAGTTATTTCCTGGATTTCCAGTAAGAAGCATTGACCAGTGGAGTTCAACTGGGTCCATTGTGAGATAGTAACTCACTGAAGAATATGGTGGACGGTGACTCAATTTCATGTATTGGTTTGAGTCAAACATTAACACCGTTAGATGCAGGCCAGCTCACTTGTCTAGAGATGGAGCGTTCGTACACGAAACCAATAGGTCCTGTGTTCGAATCTGACTGAACGGGATTGTGGATGTGCACTGTTGAGGAGTCCCACACTGGGACGAAACGGACATCTAGTGATTGTAGATTTTTCATGACGGTTTAATTTCAATTGAATCATGAATTCAACCATGAAATTACTAAAATCTATTTGTATTCATATCAGAAAACTATGCTCCATTACTAAAATGACATAAAATTATCGAACTACATATAATTTATTAAATTTCATTGCTGTTAATAAAATCTTGGAAAATATGTTTTAATTTAATCGCACTTAATAATAAATAAATTAAATTTTAAATTTTTAGAAATTTTTGAGACAAAATATGTCCAAATATGGTTATGAATTCTGTTGATAAACAATTTTCTTAAATAATTGAACATTGACATGTTTGAATTTTAAAAACACTTCGTAATTTTAAAATTGTTAAAAATAATGTTTTGATTTCTTTTTTCTTTATTTAAAGAAGAAAGAATAAATTGTTGCATTCTGAGCAAAGATGGATAGTGGCTAGAAGTGAGAGATTCATGACGAGAGTTTCATCCTATTTGGGACATGTCAGCGAAATGTACCTACATCTCAGAGTTCATATTCACTCTAGAAATCGAACACAATGCCGTTCATTCAAACACCATCACGTTATTCACTTAACTACTGAGTCCTGATATCCACTTGATTGTGTAATTAGGGTGAAGTTTAAATTCACTTGATATTGTTTACATGAATCTTCCCATTGATATTTAGAACTGTATTTGATCAGTCTATTATTGGCAACAAGGACTCAGTAGCTAAGTAAATAATACGATGGCATTTAAAGTGAACGGTACTGGGTTCGAGTCCCAGAGTTAACACCAACTACGAGATGCCAGTACATTTAACTGACGAGTCTTAAATAGGACGAAACTTGCTTCACAGTGGATTGCACTGCTAGCCACCATCAATCTTTGTATGCAGTGCTTGTGAATTAAGGCTATATCGAGGCAATACGCATAGTATGCACGTATGCGAATAAGAGATTGATCAATTGCAGTCTTAAACATCAATAGGAAGATTCAAGTAAATAATATCATATGAATTTATCGTTTTGTTTTGAACCTGCTCTTCTTGTACTAAATATTTATGTTTACAGATATGCATATCAACAGTATTAGACAAATAAAACACTGTGTTTTGATGATTACCAAATCATGATGTGGGCAATATAATCAAATATAAATAAAGATGAGCTTAGTATTATCAATAAAGGATATGAAGTTCAAAAAGCTAAACAATTTATATCCACTTATCATGTTTACCAGATATATTTTAAAAACGTTTGATGTTGTTTCTCGGCTGTCAAACATGATAACGGATTTAAGCCAACAACTCTAATTGTTGTATTCTTTAATCAATTATCCCATCATTATCTTATATCTAAATTAAGGGATTTTGTAATTGTTTTACAAATCCATACACGTTAGTCTTTACTGTTGAAAAACTTCATAATTATCTTTGAATGTTTGAATTGTGTTTTTATTTGACCACATGATATTTATTGCTTTCATAAATGCTAGTGCTGTAATGAACGAGAACACAAATGGGGACAACCAAATGCATTTTAATACAACATTTCAGAATATCTTGGTATAATCTGAAAACCATACAGTAAATAATTCATTCGCAAAATATCCATCCGTTGTCTCAAACGTTGTTGTTCCTTCGTTTCCTTACCAATCACTCTTTGTGTTTGTTCTTTTCTCTTCGATTTTCTACCGTCAGGCATTGTACTTGCGATTGGTGATGCGTACTACCTATATTTGTCGATATTAATAGCACTCACCACACGACCACTGCCTATACTACTGTCATTTCTAATACAATTATCATCATTCCACCAAACTCAACTTCGCTTTTATTAGTATTCCCTACACAACTCACACTAGCATTACTATTACATCACGAAATATATTGATAACATTGCGGTTGTTTTCATGTATATTTACAAATGAAGAAGCAAACTACAGTCAAATGTAATGAGTATTTAATGAATATATATATATATATATATATATATATATATATATATTATATGTACATTCATAATGAAAATCTTTTCCCCTTTTTAAACTGACAAATGTTACTAACTAGTCAACATATTCATTTGCATAGTTTAGTTTTATTGGAATTCAAATATTATTCTAATTTTATTTTACTATAATTCCTTAAAATATATCAGTATTTGTAAGATTTTTTATGTACATATATGTTAACTTAAGTTCATTCATAATATTCAGTTCAAACAATCAAAATTACATTCTGAGAACTCTAAATGAATTGTCAACTTAAACTATTTAATTTCTGATCTAATTTTTTCTATATTGACCAATGTAACCAAATGAAGTAAATGCAATGTGATGTTTAACAATTCTTTTATGTCTATTACATAGACTATACTTACTTCAACAGTATAAAATTGTTGTCCATATGTTTGTGAAGACATTTGCAATTGAAGTAATAAGGCTTTTTTTATTCTAACAGAAGATATTTCATCTTCCCATAAATATTCAAGTGATAAAAGTTTGCCATTATTGAGACAAAATTTTATTGGATATTTTTCATGATAAGTTAAATCTCCAGTTGTTTGAATTTCTCCAATTTCTTCTACTTGTTGAAGCTGAACAAACCGATTTATAATTATGTATATAAATAAAAAGATTATTATCATCAATAGAATAAAATGAATAAGCACAGATTAAACAAAGTCAAAAAATTAAATAACTGTCCATTTCAAAACTTATCATTTGACTAGAAGTTCAGTGCTGAAAAACTGTGTATATTATTATAAGTAAAGTTGGATAATGGCTAGAAGTTGAATTTAGGAAGCGCGTTTCGTCTTATCTGGGACACGTCAACTAAATGTGCTTACATCTCAGAGTTCATATTCACTCTAGAAATCGAACACAATGCCGTTCAATTCAAACACCATCACGTTATTCACTTAACTACTGAGTCCTGATATCCACTTGATTGTGTAATTAGGGTGAAGTTTAAATTCATTTGGTATTGTTTACTATCCATCTTTGTATATAATGCTTGTGAATTAAGACAATATCGAGGCAATATGCATGGTATGCACGTATGCGAATAAGAGATTGATCAATTGCAATCTTAAACAACAATAGGAAGATTCAAGTAAACAATACTAAGTGAATTTGTGTATATCGTTTTTTCAGTAAAATTCTAACTTCCGTTAAATATCAATATATAAATTTGAAAAGGGATGTTTATTGATAGTTTTTAATAAATATACTTTACGTGTACGAATATATTTTTTCGAATACATATATATGTAGACGACTTGGACAACTGTCTAAAATAATGGTCACTTCTGGAATAAAACGCTTTAAGAAGTTATCATAACTTCCAATATTTTGAAATAAAACGTTTTCGTAGTGTCAATGTAAGATGCCATCAATTGAAACATAAACATAGTATGAAACAAAAACAAAATGTCTTTAAAAAAGGTGATATGAAAGAAATTAAGTGACATAAGGTTAAACAAATGAATCAATAAGAAGAGACTCATTAATTTGAAGGTGCTTTATCTCAATAGTATTTTATAGAGGTCTCAACTTAGATAGAAATAAATTTCTTTGACATTTATTCAAGTATTTATTGCAGTGGATCAAAATAGCTCTTTATTCCAAATGTATTGATAATCTTAGTCATTGACATGGTTACCAAGTAGTTGATACATCTAATTTCAACTTTTAGAGAAATATTATAAACAATCCATGTCATTCCATCAACCAGTAACCTTATTTCATCAACTCAAATCGAAAGAAACTTCAATAAGATTGAATGATGTAAATTACATACTTTGGATTAAATAATCATAACAAAAGAAACTGAAAACAACTAAAAATTTCTTAGAGATTATTTATATCATTTAAAATATTATTATTTTCTTCTCAAGTATAAGTAGCATTATTAATACTTATTATAGCTAATTATTTCTACTGATCAGATTCATTTAATTGTGTCGATAAACTAATCTATTCATTAAAGCGTTGAAAATTCGAAACAATTTATAGCAGCTCATGTGCAATTGAGTTTATACACATTTATTGCGGTTAATCCCTTTTTTTAATTTATTTAACGGATAGAGTTATTCGTACACTAACAACTTATTTACATCATTATACATTTATTATTGTTGTACATGTGTGAATATGTATGCTTGAGCATGGACTACTTACTGTCTACGCATATAATCATTTTGCTAGCTTTACTATTCATCGCTTAATTGATTTAATGAATAATTCATTTCATTATATATATATATGCATTTTAATCCTGTTCACTAACTTGTTCATTCGACTCGCACGCTCACTCCCTTACCTGATTACTTTTCGGCACTACTCTTTCATGCTTACTTAGCGTACTTGTAATTTTGATAATCTGTGTTTGATGCAATAATAAACCTAATCAACACTTCATATTCACCTTCTGATGAATACACCGTTGGAGTGTTATCTAGTGACGGTTATCAGGAAGAAGTGTATACAAAGTTTATAGAATATAATGAATACTGACCATCACAATTTACAAAATGCAAATGATGCATTTAAACAAAAAATGTATACAATCACTTACAGATAATCGCATATCACAATTTGGTCCAATGATAACCTTTGCTAATCCTTCTATAATATAACTTTGATTATTTATTTTATTATTTCTAATAGTTTCATTAGTGAGTTTATAGGAATTATCCATTTGATGAATAATTCTCCATTTATACATATATTGATAGCCAATTTTAAATTGACTTACAATGATTCCATTTATGTATAGATCTTAACAAAAAATAAAATATATAGGGTATGTATAAATTAATTTTATTAGTTAAAAATAATGATATTTACAAACTACTCAATAGCAAAGAATCTTGTATTGTACATTATAATAAAAGAATAAGAAATCCTTATAAGGACAAGTTATGTAAAGTGTTATTTCAGAATTGTTCTGAAATCCTGAGAGGAAAAGGAAAAGTGGAAGGCTGAGGAACACATTACGTCAGAAAATAGAAGCAGATATGAAGAAGATGAATAACAAGTGGAAAGAGCTGGAAAGGATTGTCCAGGACAGGGTTGGATGGAGAGTGCTGGTAGGCAACCTATACTCCTCCAAGAGGAGTAACAGGTGTAAGTAAGTCTTGATTCAACTCAAGCTAGATCACTATGGAAAACCTAGAAGTACTGTACGGCCGTTTCGTTTTAGTGTGAGACTCTTCAGCACTGCTCAGCTGCGATCCCACCCTGTGAAATTCGAACACAGGACCTATCAGTCTCGCGCACGTGAGCTTAACCATTTCTGGAATTCAGATTATTCCGCCCTATTTTTAAGTGAAACTCCTTTACGTAAATCCACTCCTCTTTTCCATTCTCATAAACGTAATTTATAACTACTAAACTATAAATTTAAAAAACACTAATTCATTTTTAAACAATCACATGATGAAACTATCCGTAATTGCACTATTTATATCACTAAAACCTTTATACGTTATAAATGGACCTATTGTTTGAAGTTAATCCAATGACTAATAGAAACGAAATATTTACAATTCAGCTAATTAAATCTATCAGACATTTTTAAATATATAGAAATGTATCATTATAAACAACAAATTAAATTGCTTTGTGGAATTTCATAACACACAATTTATTCTACAATATGAATTATCATTAGACGCTTCAAGCAATATATACTATGAAGTAATGGTTACTATGAACAATAACATACATGATTTTTAAAGCGATGTTATTAATTAATGAATAGACAGAAATCATGTGACAAAAGTAAAGTCATTGAAATTAATTGCATAATAACTATCATTCATTTAATAATAAAACATTTCCCGGACTTTTAAGAAAAAACTTTGCTGTATTGCAGAGAGTGCTGAAGGCAGTTAACAATGTGTGTGGTGAATCTTTCGAGGTCATAATTAATATGGTTGTGGATAGACATCTAAAGTCATGCAAACTCCTGGCAGATGTTATCTTATCAGATACTAACCATCCACTTCATTCAAATCTTTCTCCTTGTATATCTTCTGGTAGTATGAGACGTAATTACATTAAAATCCATGCACGTAAGCAAAAGTATAAAAGTTCTATATTACCTTACCTAGCAAATATACTCTGGGAAGAACAAGTTGTTTGAGTTAACCTAGTTATTAACCTGAATTCCTAACATGTCTTTAAATCGGAAAGTTGTACAGTTTTTCACATTTTTTCTTTCAACAGTTTTTTCCTTTGTTTTTTGTTTTTGTTCTATTTTAGTAAAAGAGACTTGTTGAAATACCTTGTGCTGAGAATTCTATATTGTACCAAAAATATATTAAATAAAGCTATTAACAGTAATAATAATAATAATAAACTTCATAATGGTCTCATATCATTTTATTCTAATTATTAAATATAATTTATGATAGATTCAAATAAAGTCAAAGTAATAATCGTTACATAAAGCTAATTGTAAGTAGTTCTATATAGTTATATGTCTCATTTGAAATGTCATTATTTCTGATGTATAAAAACTTTAAATGACCGCTGTTCATGAATAATCTTTTTTTCAAAAGAATGTTAATCTTGAATATATACAAGAAGTTACCATCTGAACATTTAGACGTCTCAGTAGTTAAACAGACTTATTCAAAAGTTTTATTAGGAATTATTATTTTATTTGAGAAATCGGCACGAGATAATATTCTGTTTGTCTAATATTGATTACTTCTGTTGTAAACGAGAACACATATGGGGGTAATAAATTGTAACTACATACAATATTACAGAATCTCTTAGCAAAAGATGAGAATCATATATTGAATACTTTCTATGTAAAATTTCATTATTTGTTCTTCAAATTCTACTTGATTCTTTGAAGTCACAATTAATTTCTATTTTCATTTCTGTTTTTTTTCAAGTCAATCTTTATACCCTTCTGCCGCATCGGTTTTCCAATTCCGACTGGTATTACATACTACTTATGTCTGTTGATATATGTAGCATACATCACACACATATTTATTATGATCACTAGTGTAAGTGATAATATATCATGTTCACTGTTTTGATTATATAAAGATGGAAATAAATCCTAGAAAATTATATTCTTAGGTTTAAGGCTGCTTGATGTTTAGCAACAAAGCCCATGTTAAATTTCGAAGGACTCAGTTTAAACGCTTTAGTTGTAATTTTTCTCTAACTGTAAGATTGTTGTTCATAGCAGTGAGAGACAATAGGGTTGTGTAGTTTGGTGTCGCATTTTTCACAGTTTATTGTCATGTGTCTAAATTACTTTCGGTTTTGTTGATTTTATTTATTATTATTTAATCACATTATGAAGAGTTTGTTGAAGTATTAGCAAATACATATCGAATTTCGAACCTACTAAAAGTCTCAAACAATCAATTAAATTATTAACTCTTGAAGCAAACTGATACAGTAGACTCAAAAATGCCAAACAGTTGCACATTATTTTTAGTTTAGACATAGTGAACTGAAATGTAACCTAATTGTAATATCCTAATTTCGTTGGTTAGTCAGATAACTACACCTTATCTTCTTACAAACAATTATGCTTTAAACAATTTTTATTTATCAGAAGAGGATTTTGTGGAGATTTTAGTAATTTAATAGTTGAATTCATGAGTCAATTGAAGCTAGACGTTGGAGGGGAGGCATTCTGGATAAACACTGTTGAAGAGTCCCGTACTAGAACGAAACGGTAATCCAGAATTTCCAGGTTTCTCATGGTGATCTAGCTTCAACTGACTCATGAATTCAACTATTAAATTTTTAATTACGCAGTTGATTATGTTGAGTATTTCGTACACATGCGCATCCTATTTACTAATGAAAATACAGCTTTTAGCTGTATAGTTTTTCTATTTTCTAAAATCAGTTCATTTGAGTTTATGACATTCATGATTATTATTTGGTCATTAGTCACATAAGCTAAAGAAAAAAAAGGATTATATCACCACAAATATATACAATATTTTGTTCATTTAATAGATTTCACTTCAGTATTAGATTCTATTTTCAAATGACCTAAGACAACAATATGTGAATACTTCCTTCTTCTTCGTTTTTTCTAAACTGGGTTAATCCTTCTACGGTTAGGTGTACAGGATACAGAATTTATTTATAAAAAACACAAGTTATATTGACATCAGTGGGTAACCGACAAGTTTAGTTAATATTATGCTTAGTAAAAGAAAATAAATAAATGATAATCAGTCCAACATTTAGTTACTAGTTATCTCCTAAATGCACTGACATATAATGTTGACCGTTTGTTTAATTATTAGATATTTGTTCAATTATTCAATTACCACATTATGTTTAATATATTTGTAAAAAATTTCATAAACCATAATATCATTATATTTGACAACTATTGTGTTTTGTGCGAATTATTAAAACAAAACAGAATTTTCTATGTAAAGATGGCTAGCTTCTAAAATCCAGGACGAGTGTTTCATTTTATTTGTGACTCGTCAGCTGGATGTACCTGTATCTCGGAGTTAATGTTCACTCTGTGACTCGAACTCAAAACCATTCGCTCTGAACGCTGTCGTGTTATTCACTTAGCTACTGAGTCCCAAATAGGATGGAACGGGCGTCCTGGACTCCACGTCTAGCCATTGAATGAAACAGCTATTTAGTTATACTTAGAATTTACAGTCTTCTAGGTAAAGTCAGTCCATGATTTAAATGAACAAAGGCACTTACATTAATCCCCATGGTAAAAGTCACACTGGTCGGTCTTTAATTATATTCCATATGAAAGCCCAAGATGGTATAGTTTAATTACGATTTTGTAAATAGTTAAATTATCTGTTATCAAACTTTAAGGGAGTGCCTATGATCTTGTTTAACATTAAGAATATTGCAATCTGTTAGTAAAGCCATTCTGAATAAAGTGAGGACAATACTCATAAATCAATTAGTAAAAATTAAGTGTTTCATTATCTTAACTTCAGTCAGTGTGTAAACTTTGTATTCTACCACTATTTGATTCCTAACTACTCTTCATTTGATAGTTTTCATTAAAAGGTGGTATCTTCAAATATTGGTTTAACCATGGACTACGATGGCCTGTTAAATCAGTGTAATTCATAGTTGTCATAATATAGTACTAAGAGTTCCTATATTACCGATAAAATAGTAATTAATTATTTAATAAACAGTAATTATTTAGTTTTTATTGCTCAATTTTATTATTCGCCTACAAAAAACAAACATTTTTATTACTCCTTTACATGCATTCTAAAAATGAATGAAAATATTCAAAGTAATTGTACATTATTGATATTTTTGACTTGTGGAACGTTTGATAATCTTCACCTTCTATTGATAAATCTTCATAAAAGTGATGTTGATATGATTTGTCACAAGAATATAAACAACATTAGTAAACAATGATCAATAAATTTTTCAGCAACGTGCATCAACGAACATTAGTGAGCAGATGGTAATTATCAGTATAGGGTTGTGGAGATCGCTGATAAGTCCCATAATAGGATTAAACGGACGTCCAGTGCTTCCAGGTTTTCGATGGTGGTCCAACATCAATCGCTTCATGATCTCAATCATGTCCATAACCCTATACTGACAATAAATTTCTATAAACTACGTGTGATGAAGCGTTCTATGATAACTAGCCAATTTATCAGAGAAATTTTCCTATTCAAAGAATTCAATGAAATTAATATTTGACAATAATTTTTCGAATTTATTAAAAAATAATTTCATCATTATTTAACATCAGCCTAATGATATTTTAC